GAGGGAGGGAGGGAGGGAGGGAGGGAGGGAAAAAGAGATTCCCTCTTAGGCGGCTGCCAGGCGTCATTGAGGGGTAAAGAGCCGCCATACATTCATGACACTCAATAAACAGCCACTCTGTCTTGCTCTTCCCCCTCCTTTCCTTCCATTTGCTCTTCTTCTGGTACCTGGTCCGCCGGGACATAGAGGACGGAAATATTCCGGTGCGTCTCCTCGGGTAAGGGCAGTTGGAGGACGGTGAACGGCTCGAAGCGCGCCGAAACGTAGCTTGGATCAAGGCAGTAAGGAAGTAAAGGGAAGCAGCAGGGAAACACGGAGAAATGAGGTGACGGGATGGAATGGAGGCGGCCGGGGAAAAGGGCAACAAAGGAAGAGAAGGGGAAAAGCGGGAAGACGGAGGGAAAGGGAGAGCGAAGGAAGGGGGGAAGGAAAGGCAGGGAGCGAGGGAGTCTTTCCTTACTTGCAGGTAGGACAAGCAGTGGTTGTCTTGTACTGGCCCGTAAAAAGGGCTGCGACGAGGGAGAGCTCCCGCTTGAAGTGGTTGTGCCACCATATGTCCGCCAGCTCCTGAAGATGAGAGCGAGAGACAAGGAAGGGACGGAGGGAGAGAGGGAAAAAGGGAGGAAGAACGGTGAGCAGGGAGACGCGAGTGGCCCCTCTGGAAAACGTACGCGAGGAAAAAGGAGCATCATGTCTCCTTCGTCCAGCCCCTCCTTCCCTCGCTCCATTTCGCCCTGTCCCTCCTTCCTTCCTTCCATCCCATCCCAGGTGACCTCACTTCTCCTCGAAATTGCTTCCGCGCCTTCTTTCCTCTCACACATTGTCCCACTTGATTCTTTGCTCGCTCTCATTCCCTCTCTCTCCTCGCAAAGTCCGACATCGACCCCCTCTCTCCCTCCCTCCTGTCCTCCTTCCCTGCCTTCCACCCTCCGTCTTACATGATCCGGGCGACCGTCCGAGTCGGGCTGCTCTATGTAACTTTTCTTCTTGACGCGATTCAAGTCCTCGGATAACGTGGAGAGGAGAAAGGCGAGAAGCTCCTGAAAAGAGGGAGGGGCGTGTGGGAGAGAGAGGAAGGGAAAGAGGAAAAGAAGGTAGGTAGGGTCTGTGTAAGGGCTCCGGAATTAAAAGCTTTCGACAGAGCCCAGTCCAGCCTTTGCGCGAGAATTCAGGCCATCCACAAATGTCAAACCCCACAGAAAAGGAAGCCAGGACGATAATTTTCCCGCTGTCCACACAGAGAGAGAACAAGGCTTTTCAATAATACGTCCCCACGGGCAGTCTCCACCGAGAGCCGACGCAGCCCTGGGGCTTGGGTGTACCTGAGCGTCGT